GATGGAAACCTATTCCAACTGGAGGGTTAATCACAGGAGTGGAGAACCCTTTCATTTTGGCCATTTGGACAACTGGATATTCACTCCATGTAAAGCAATTTGCCTCTTCTGAGGCAAAGAACCCTTCTAGGCATACTAGGAATCATAGTAGTCAATAAAAGCAACATTATGCTCTTAAGGGATGGATGCCTGTGGATAGAGATGTTCATGACGTCTCAGACAAAACTGGAAGTACTCCGTAATTCTAACCCGAGTAACCCTCACCTGTGCTGTCACAAGTATTTATCACCCATTTTAGAGCTAAGACATGGGATCCTAGAGCCTTCATCCAGCAGCTGGTGGAAGTGGAAGCAGACACCCACAGCTAATCACTGAACTGACCCGGAATCCAGTTGCAGAGAAGGAGGAGTGATGAGCAAAGGGGTCCAGACCAGGCTGGTGAAACCCACAGAAACAGCTGACCTGAACAAGGGGGAGAGCTTTGGCGCCCAGACTGATAGCTGGGAAACCAGCATGGGACTGATCCAGACCCACTGAACCTGGGTGTCAGTGAGGAAACCTCGGAAATCTATGGGGTCTCTTGTAGTGGATCAGTACTTATCCCTAGCATAGGAATGGACTTTGGGGGCCCATGCCACATGAAGGGATACTCCCTGAGCCTAGATATGACAGACTCCCTACGGAAGGCTCACCCTCCCTGGGGAGCAGAAAGGGTATGGGATAGGTAGGGTGTTAGTTGCGGGAGGGCAGAGAAGAAGGGGAGGGAGAGGGAACTGGGATTGACATGTAAAATAATCTTTCTAATTCAAATAAAAAAATAATAAAAAATAAAAAATAAGGCATCGGGCACTTCAGTGACTTAACTGAGTTCCCACTTCCAGTAAATGGCAGTTGAGCACTTCAAGCTATTGTTCATGAGTCCACTACACCTTTTATTTCTTTTTTAAAAATTGTGAACATGAGTTTGTGGCGTTTTGTACCTGCTGCTCTAAGTATGTGCATATATGCATGCATACTGAGGACAGGTCAGTGTTGGATGTCTTTTCTCCATTGCTCTCCACCTTCAATTTTGTAACAGTTTGTCACTGTACCTGAAGGTCATTGATTCAACTAGACTGGCTGGCCAGTGAGCTTCAGAGATCCCCAAGTCTCCATCTCCCCTCATCACTGATGTTATAAGCATGCTTTGCTATGCCCAGGTATTTTTTCCCCACTTTTTAAATTTTTTTTTGCGAATTTCATACATGCCTATTATGTTTTGATCAAACCAAACCAAACCAGTCCCCATTCCTTCTCCAATTTCTACTGTATGCCCCCATCACTACTTTCTCATCCCAACTTCATGTGGTTTTCTTAAACCCACTGACTCTTCAGTGCTGCCCAGATGTCCATGGGTGTGGGACCATCTACAGGAGCATGGGTAGCTTCTCAGGGTCCACATCACTGAAGAAGAAAACTGACTCTCCTTCCCACAGCAACTATCATTTGCCAGTATCCTCTCATATACGGGTGGGACTTTGTAAGACCGGCCAGCACCCTGGGAGTTTTGCTGGCTCTATCCTTTAAAGGTCTTGTGCATGCATTCACAGCCTCTGTGAGTTATTATGTGCAATGGCCCTATCCTGTCTGAAAAATGTTGTTTTGCTATCTAATTCCTCTTTTACAGTAATCCCCGAGCTTTTGGGGGAGGGATATGTTATAGATGTCCCATTTAGAAGTGAGCACTACGTGGTCTCTTATTCTCTACATGCTGACCAGTTGTGGATCTCTTTATAAATTATCATGTATTGCCAAAAGAAACTTTTCTGAAGAGAGTTGAGATGAGAATGTGGTCAAGGGCAGTACTGTTTCTGTTCATACAGTAATAGTATTAAGTTCTTCTGGCTCTTATGTAGGTGCTGGAAATCCAAATTCAGGTCCCACACTTGCAGGGCGGGTACATTATTGATTCTGCTGCCTTCCTCAGCTCCAGCTTCACATTTTACATGTGACTCACTAGACTCTCAGTTAACTCTGAGGCCATCAATCTGGGATGGGGACTGTGGTTCTGCCCTTGTGACAAATTCCTCGGTGGCACTGATGCTGCTGACTCCTGGACCACATTGGAGGATAGTTTCTGGACTATGATGATCATCTTTCATCTCCTGGAGCTAAGCTACTCCATTCTGCGCTATCTTCCTTAGGACTTTGTGGTATTATCCTTTCCCAGGCTCGGTAGGTTGAAGATTGTGGTTGAGAAAACCATTCATGGTAGTTCAGGAAATGGATGGTTGGCTGGAGGGTACAAAGCTCATGCATAACATGAAGAATAGACAGCACATCAGGCTTCTTTGGACCTTGAGCCCCATCAAGTTCAAGTCTCCCCCTATACGTCCTCTCTACTGATTCTTTCCTCCACTCCAGTTTGCTCCCCACCTTTCCAACATGACCGCTTCGCTAAAAATGTACCAGCCCCTTCAGACCCCACAACAGTTCACAATAAACACATGCCTATTGTTTTAAATCTGGAATCTTGCTTGCTTTGTCAGTCAGAAGAGCATTAGAGTTCTGGATTAAAATAAATTGAGCAGGAAGGGGAAGTAGAGTTTCCATAAAATACTTTATTCTCTCTCTCTCTCTCTCTCTCTCTCTCTCTCTCTCTCTCTCGCTCTCTCTCTCTCTGTGTGTGTGTGTGTGTCTGTCTGTCTGTCTGTCTGTCTGTCTGTCTCTGTCTCTCTCTCTCTCAACACCATGTATGCAATGAGAGTTAAGTCTTGGAGGTCCAGGTTGCTTTCTGCAACACACACACACACACACACACACACACACACACACACACATGTCATGGATGTCCCAGCATCATTAGTGGGCATGGAGATTAGCACACCCTCAAGAAAAATCTCAAGTGAAGGTGATACAACTACTGGTTTTAAAGAAGTTTGGTTCTTCTGGGACACGCGTTTCCTTTAGGAGGGGAGAGAAATCTCTCTGAATTTCTGATTTCTGAACTGCATCTTTGTGCATTCCCCAATTATACATTCATTTATTTATTTATTTTTCATTTTGAACTTTTTATATGTGAGTATTTTGCCTGTAAGTTATGTCTGTGTATCATGTGTGTGCCTGAACCCCACAGAGGACAGAGAGGGTGTTAAATTCCAGAAACTGGAGTTATAGAAGGTTGTGAGACAACACCTGGGGGCTGCAAATTGAGGCTGGTTCCTCTGGAAGAGCAGCCAGTGCTTTTAACTAGTGAGTCACTTCTCCAGTGGCATGCACAGTAATTTATGAGCTTATGTACTTGCTCTTAGATAGCCTAGGAGATTACAGAGGAGTCCAGTCATCAGATGCAAAAGTCTTCCGGAAGTTCATCTGGAACTGCTCAACAGGAGCTGCAGAGAAAATGACAGGCGGGATATTTTGAAGGCAAATGAGTTTGGGGTGTCCCTGAACCTAGTATGTGAGGACTGTGACAAACAATCCAGGCTTCCTGCTATGGAATCCGGAGGGACTAAACCCAAACTTTTAGGATCTAAAAGTCTAGATCCTAAGCAATTCAAGCCCTGGGTGGGTTAAGGTGATCATCAATCTTCTCCACCTGGCTCTCAGGGACCTGGAGACTTTTCTAGAGACTTTGGGATTTTTCTATCAATATCTGAAATTCAATTTGGAAAAATTCTCAGACACAATGAGACAATGTCAAAATCAAAAGCAGATGAGAGAACAAGTCTGTGGGTCATATTGCTATGGAAGTTGTCAGGCAGGGCTGTTGAAATTTATCACTGACTTGGCTAGGAAATTAGGTGAGAAACTGGAGGGTTCATTGGAGAACTGGGGTGTGTGAAGAAGATAATCCACAGCTGAAAGATTACATAAGTGAAAATAAAGACTGAATAAATAGGCTTTGTGGCAAATTAGATACACATGAAGACAAGATTAGCTGTCTAGAAGACACCTCAAAATCAAATATCCAATAAATGCTCCAAAAGACAAAAGAATAGAAAATAAGAATTGAGATCCATGACAACAACAATTCAGAAACTTATAGGAGGTACAATAAAATGAAACGAACATACAGGCCATGTTTGCCTTGTTTCTGGCTCTCATACTAGTTCCATCTGCATTCCACCTGCTTTTTAAAAAATTCAAGTCCTCCATTCTCTTGTCTAGAGCTCTTCACTTGTGACAGTTTAATTCTAAATTCCTGAAATTTGATCCAATTGTAAATTTAATGTCTTGGTCAGACTACCCATGTTTTAAGTGCTCAATAGCCACACATGACCAGTAGCTGCTCACCTGGACAACACTTACTTGGAACATTTCTATTGACACACAAAACCCTATTGAACAATCAGATCAATTCCTGATGTTGTATGTGTTTTGTTATTGTTGGTAGTTTTGTTGCTGTTGTTGTTGTCTGTTTAATTCCCAAGTGCGATGTTCAAAGTTTTATATATTATAACTCAACCTTTCCTACTGGAAGCAGAGTGAATCCAGTGATCACCCAATAAACAGAAGAAGAAAAAATAATCTCAGGACCAGGATCCTGTTGTCTTTCAGAGAGTCTTGCATACAGAGAGGTGCTCAGGGCCTGATACCACCGTTGCATGACTCCAGATGCTCCTGACTAGAAATAAATGCCCAACACTGCACCATGGAAGACGGTAAAATCATCAAGGAAATGGTGGTTTGATTTTGGCCCCATCAAAAAGCTCTTTATACTTGAAGTATGTGGTGCAGGCCAGACTTTCATTGAGTTGTACTTTGGCTTTGTCATTTACTGGCTTTTAAACTCAGACAGGTTTCTTTGCACATCTTGGGCCCAGGTTTCTCAGCTGTTTGGTGTATAATGTTGTGTTTCTCCTTGGTATTTGGGTTATGATGACTCGAGGCAGTGTTGTTAATATGGACATTATAAATTTAAGAGACATTGGTACCACATGGCACTGCTTGAGGTTACAATGTAGGTTAGGGCTGCAAGCTGCTGTGTGTCATGCTGTCTTGTCTCTTTGTGTTTTCAGTGATTTCCCTCAAAGCTACTGAAGATTCATCATTTGAGAAAAAGAAAGTGACATGGGCATTTTTTGAAGGTAAGTCTGGTGTCTTGATGCAGCCTAATTTCTAGACAGTAAAAAGGGAATAGAAAAAAAAGTGGGGGTGTGAATTCTAGTTTCTTAACTTTTTCATAACATCAAGTTATGTTCCTGGACTGATCTCTGCAAGAGTGAGATGGGAATCCCAATTGGTTTGAAAGCCTTAGTCTGCCTGGTTCTATTTGTTTCCTTGTCCCCATCCCCATCTCCACCCCACAAATCCCTCTCCTGGGTGATAATAGGGAGAGCCTTCCATGTGATGCAAAACTAAAGAACGTCTACTGAAGGAACATTTAATTCTTAGTTGCTTCAGAAGTTAGGGGTTCTAGAAGAGCATGAAAGCCACAAACAGAGGTTTTCATCCCATGTTAGAACTGCTCACGGAGCTTTCAAAACCGGGATGCCTGCAGGAGATTCTGACTCAGTTGAAACTAATACCTGCCATTTGAGTCCATCATGCAGCAGACTAGCAGCCCCAGCCTGAGAGACAGGACCTGGCAGTAGCCCCACCTGGGAGCTTGTTATGAATGCAGGCTAGACTCTGAGGTGGTGCCTTATGCCTTTGGAAGACTGCAGCAGTCAGTCTTGATGTGCTTTGCAGCATGGTTTGAATCTCTAAGACACTTGATGTAATGTAAACCTCTGGTGTCCCTTTAAGTATGAGTGGTGTTCTCCACAGGAGGTGCTTTTGCCCCCATAGAGGACATTTGCTGGTCTCAGGAGACAGTTTTGGTTGTCTCCAGTGTGGGAATGCCACTAGCATCTTGTGGTTAGAGGCAATGTATGAGACAGTCCCCACATCAAAGGATTCTGCTTCCAAATGCCAAGAGTTGGGAGGTTACAGGTCTCTCTCCCAGAGAAAGGACAGTAGATAAATGCTCATCACAAAGTAACTGAGGGTTATGACCATAAGCAATGACATCATGTGCTCTGAGTTGTCAATCAGAGCCTTTGATCAGGGGACGGTGCTTAACATCAACAGGGGAAGGACTGTAGTGGACAAGATGCCACTACACAGGACCTTTGAAAGGATTCCATCTTGTGAAGTCTTTGGGTTGACTGATGAGGAATGAGTTGGTCTCCCACCCCTGTGTGCTCCCCCACCCCTGTGAGACAAACAAGACAGTATGTAGCAGGAGATCCAGCCTTAGGGGGCACAGCACAGGAATTCAAAGCTACATTTCCTAGTAGCATGTTAGACAGACACAGTATCTCTTTGAAAAATTCTACTGTAATTGTGGTTGGCAAACACCCCCAGTTTGCCAGGACTCACTATTTAGTTTTATACTTGTAAGTTGGTTTTTTTTTTTTTTTTTCCTCAGATCACATTTTATCCAATAACGAATCTTTGTATCTTTGGAATCTTCTACACTTCATAATTGCCTTTTTTGATATCTAATGACTTTCTCCTAGCAAGGCATCCCTGGTTCCCTTCCTCTGTCTCTTGGCTCTCTTTGGCTTCCTCTTGGCCAGAGATAAAAGTGGCTGTGGGGAAGACAGCCACTTCTCATCACAATGAGTGAAACTGGGGCAATCTGGTCGAGCTTTGGCCCATGCCTCCAAAACTGTCTTGATCACTGGTGTTAGGATGAGGTAGAACAATGGCAATGGCTGTGGGACTCTCTAAGGAAGGTCACTGAAGAATGAGCCAGAGCAGACCCTGGCTCCACCTCTGCAATTCTGATGATCACACTAGGAGTCATGTGTTCATAGGTGTGAGATGGTTTTGATGCGAGTGGTCTAAGGATTGTATTTGAAAACTGCAATGATATATATATTAATTATATATAATTTAATTTAATTATATTAATTAATCTATATATATATATATATATAGATTAAAATATATATATTAAAAGACCATTTGGAAAGACTGTAGCAGTCAGTCTTGACACACTTTGCAGCATGATTTCAATCTCTAAGACCCTTTATGTAATTGGCAACATTTTATAATTCCACAGATGTAGAGTATAAGCTTCACTCCCACCTTAACTGTAAGTGAAATCTGTGGCCCAGCATGGACTTTCCTCTCAATAGAGACAATCAAACCCTATCAAAGACTGGGAGTTGTCGTTCTCACCATGCATCATGCATGCCCCAGGGCAGCAGTTTCCATGCCTTCTTTCCCTATGTTGGGGGTGGTGGTCATGGCACTGGTGGTAGCAGCAGTAGCAATGTCTCTGTGTTCTGTTTTTTAACCCACCACAGCTTTGGCAAGGTCAAGGGTGTAGCTGAAACTCTGGCACAGGATCTCAGGCCTTTTGCCCTTTTGTTCCTGATTGGAAGAGCTTCCGTGTGGGTTGTGGACAGATATCCATCCTCCTGGGGCTGAGCTGGGCCTGGCTGTGTGCCTGCCCAACAAAACAAGCATTGATTGTCAGGGCTCTTGATGAGATGTTGGAGTGAGTTAAAATCCCTCAGGGCTATCACTCAGGTATTTTGCCCTGAGCAAGATGGTATTACAGGCTACATTAAAAACTAGTGGAAGTACATGGAGTTTTATTGCCGGAACAGCTATTCCCTAAGCGCTTGCCTTTGAACTGGAAATGTAGAATACTGACCCTGGCTTTCTTGACTGTGGATGTATGTGTATGGGGGGTGTGATGCTTGGTTGTGCTAAGGAATGCTGGGGTCACCCAGTTTCAAAGCAGTACTGAATAAATACTCTGTTGTGTTGCCAGGCAACAGGTGCCTTTGTCCTGCCTGGCTTGGTTGGCAGTCTGGGAGGATGGGCAAGAGCGGGCATACAAGCATTGTCACCCTGTGTTGGCCTCCCTGTGGCATACACAGGCACAGCAGCCTGCTGGCCCTGCCATCTGCTTTGAGGAGACCTGGATTCTTTGCTGCTTGTCTAGAAATGGCAGTAGTGTCTTTAGAATTCCAGTGGCAAAAAAATAATTGCAAACAGATTTGAGGACTAAAAAGTGATATTTGCTATTACTGTTGAGTATGCAGGTATTGGTAATATTTTACTTTGTTACTTATATATTAATTTTTTGCATTTATTCATTTATTATTTATTTGGACAGAATGAAATTCAATGCATTCCACAGTCTGTGCTTGTACTTCACCACAGAGCTAACTCCCCAGTTGTATATGGTTATTCATTCATTTATTCATTCATTTGGTACCTAGGCCGCATGCATGCCATGAACACTCCACACCCCAATCTCCCTCCCTTGAGGCATTTAAAAGCTGGTTTTGTTGAGTTTAGGGCTAAATTTTTAGTTTCATTCTCCAAACAATGTTATTTGTCTAGGCTTGATTTTTTGAAATATTTTGAGCCATGTTTTTAGAAATAAAGGTTTTTTTTTTTTTTTTTTTTTTTTTTTTACACTAACTAAAGGACATGTGTGAAGACAGGGTGACATCAGGCCATAATGCCTGCCTCTGGAACACATGGCAACTAGCCTGAGCTGTTCACTGTGAAAATGTAACCCTGGAGTCTTCTGATTTTGTGGCCCTGGCTTTAGGTTAGCTGTTGTTTACAGAGAAACCTGGGGTCAGTGGCAGAGTCACTGTTTTGAACAGGTTTGCTTGCTTTGTGTAGTAAAAGGAATGCTTGGCATGGAGACGAAGTCAGAACTTCTCAGTATCGATTGCTGCCTGATCTAGGGAAAAATGGATGTGAAGTGATGCAATTCAAGGATCCCATAGCTCCAAGAACGGAGCAGAGAGCTTCCACTGTCACCCATGCATGGAGACCCACGTGTGGGTGGATGGTGCCTACTGGCGAGTGTCCATTGCCCCCAGGGTCTCTGGGCTTGCTGGAGCAGCAGAGCATTGCACACTGGCCAGATGTTCTATGATTCTGCAGCTACAGCTGCCTGGGGACAGCCAGCCCCCTCTGTGCTATATCTAGGCTGAGATCAGAAAGCACAACTAGACCTTGAGTTCTTTGTCTCCCGCTAGGAGAAAGCATGCCCTAGATGTGTGTGGTGTGTTATAGGGACATTTGTCAGAGCTCACCTGGAACCTGTTCTTTCTTGGTCCCTTTAGTCTGGAAACCATAGACAGAGTATATGAATGCACAGTCTGATGGGTGCGGATGCTTTAATCTTGGGGCCTAGAAACTTTAGTAAGTCAGTTTTTTCCTTCCATCCAAGAAGAAATAGAAGCCAATTACCCTGCCTTTTATATCAGGGCTGACATCTGACTCCCTCAGAGGCAGGCTTTGTCTCCATGTGCCCCAGTTCTGTCTGGCCCAGCAAAGCAATTGGGTTATTTAGTACTTTTTCTCTATGCCAGCCAAGTTCCTGGAGTAATTTGCTCAACAATGAATAAATCAGGACTGGCTGTGGGGTCACAGGATCTGGACTGTCCTGTGTCCTGGTATCCTGTCTTCAGTTTGGGTCTGTGACCTTCGTTGATCATGACTTGTCTCTTTTGGAATCCATGTGTCCCCTTGTTGAGTTTCACATTGTTGAAGCAGAGGCACAAGCCTGTCCTCCCTAACCATTCCAACCTATCAATCTATAAAGCCACACACGAGGACACATATGCCCCCGGACAGAAGCAGTTGGACTTTACTACCAGCGAAAAGCCGCTCTGTTTCCAACTAGACCTCCTCACACCCTGTGACTTTCCACCCACTGTAGCAGCCTGGCTTCCACCAAGGTTTTCCCAGCATCTTCTGCGTGGGAAGACCCAGTGGGTGCTTATGCCCAGCATTGGATGCACCAAGGAATGGCCCCCCACAGTGCTTCATTCTTGTGTTAGAACTCTCCCTCACGCTCCCCACTCTGCTTCCATTATAGCTCTAGGATCCTCATGGGAAACCCTTCATTCTTCCCACCCATCTGCTGGCTCCCTTAGCTGTTAATAAAAGTGGTCTGATCTACATACGAGTCCCAGGATAAGCAGGGCTACATAGAGGGTGGTGAAATGTCTCTGCATGCTTTGCTCACTTTCCAGGGGAAATCCTTTGCTTACTTTTCATAGTTGATTTTTGATAGCTCTTGACATACTGTAGATACCTCCCTGTTTGGATCTCTGGTTTTAAATGCTCTCTCCCAACCTGCGGCTTGACTTTTCGTCTTCATGCAGCTGTTCACAGAGCACGAATTTTCAGTTATGGTGAAGCAGGTTTATCTTTTCTAATGACTGAACATGTATGCTGGGTGGGTGCCCTGTCTCTGAGCTGTGTCCCTAGCCATCAAGGTTTTCTCCGGGGGGTGGGGGGGAGGATGCCTCTGGTGACAGGTCTAGGAGCCCTGTCTCTTAGATTTAGATCTGAAGGTTTTCCTCTTGTACAAATTTCCCCTCAAAGGCGTTACAATTTACATCTGAAATTCTTTATGTGGTTTGTTTTGCGTTAATGTTGATGACGATGTGCCCTTCAGATCTCTATATGTATGCCGTCCTGGTGTGCTGCGTGGGGATCCTCAGTGTTCTACTCTTCACCCTGGTCATCGCCTGGCAGTCTGTGTTTCACAAGAGGAAATCCAGAGGTAAGATAAGATCATGTCTGGAATGGGTAGCCACCCACCCACACACAGGCAGATGATGGCAGGCAAAATATCACCTTGGAGGGACGGCATCCTGGGTCTGTAATTGTTTGCCTGGAAGCAGAAAGCAAAGTGAGTGAGAAGACTTGCTTCTCACTGAAATAAACTGACCTCTGTCATGCCAGCTAAATTCCCTTCTTCAAATCTCTTCCTTCCTGGGGCTTTGGGTTCCTTAACTACTATCATGTTATTCATCCCAGGAAGGCTGTGGCTGGAGCAGCCTGGCATTGCATTTTGGCTCACCCTCTTAGGAGTGAATTTTGGGGCCAGGTTTCTGAACCAAGGGACTTGCAAATGTCTTCTTGGCAGGCAGGTGGGATGGGAATGTCTCCCTCTGTTCGTTTCCTGACTGGGGCCTCCTGTTTTCTTGTCAGTGTCCCTGACCCTTGGAGGCTGGGCTCAGTCCTTTCCCTTCTGCTTTCTTTCTCAGGCATTACTTTCCATGACTCCTATCTCCTTAGGAACAACACTGTCGATCCTAACCACAGCCCATCTCTTTTTCTAAGCTCAACTTCCCAATCCAGCAGTTCTGAGAATCTGCCTGGATGTCTACCTCTGTTTTGTTCTCCGAGGATGGCTCAGCAGACCTTATTCCAGGGTGTTGGCTGCCTTGGGCTTTTCTTCCTTTAAATCCCTTTCTTGAATGCTCCTCATGCAATCCTCTCCCAGAACTTCCAAAACCAGTTGGGGACATAGTTGCTCTCTGAGGTGACCAAGACAGACTGAGCCCAGTTTCAATGACACCCCCTCACTTAGCAACCAGGAACCCAGCTTCTCTATCTTTGCTTCCTCATGGAGACCTGAGTGACAGGAGTGCACCTGTCTGAGAGCTGGGAAAGAAGAGATGCTCAGACCCCTGAGCACGTTTATGGTGACATGTGAATAAATCACACATCACTGTCATTATTAGTCCTAGCTTGTGAATCTGGGAAGATTTCGCTTTCTTTCATGTGCATAGGGACCTTTAAACTGGGAAACTATGTTTCCCAGATATGAAGGGGACACTCCCAGAGATGTGGCCAAGACTGGGGAAAGCAGGATGGGAGATGGACATCTAGGGGCTGATACCATGGGAGACTGTTTCTCGGGGTGAAGAGGGGAGGTTCTGGAAGAGCTGCTGTTGTCACAGAGCTCAGCAGCTGAGAGCACTGTCTTCCAGAAGACCTGGGTTCAATTCTCACCATCAACATGATAGTTCACATAGATAACTCCAGTTCCAGGGAATCTGACGCTCTCATAGGGCCTCCTCCAGCACCAGGTAGGGACACTGTGCATGGACATACATTCAGGCTAAACATCTGGCACATAAAATAAAATAAAAAGAATTGTTGTTGTGGGAGAGGTGGTATGAAGAGCAATTCTGCTAATGTCTGCTAATTCTGCTAATGGAGCAACAAGAGGGCTTAAGGATCCTGCATTTTCTACACAGGAGTCCCTGGTTGCTTTTTCCCCTTGAAATTAAACCAAAGCCAGAAAGCACGAAAGACAAAGGTTCCATCAGTAGCTTCCATGGTGTGGTTGGGGTTGACAGGGAGCAGAGAATAGCATGCAGCCCTTGAAATGGAGCCAGGGGTACAGGCCAGCTCTCCCTCCACTAGAGCCTGAGTGTTTCCCACCAGACTTGTGTTTCATTGTTCTGCCCTTGGGTACCTTCCTCCATGGCATCTGCCACCCCATCAAGCTATCCCGGCATTTCCCTTGTTCCCAGTCCTCAGCTGCTTCTCTGAGCTTGTGGCAAATGTTGCCTGTGGGTGTTGGCCCTTTGCCTCCCTTCCGGAGAACCCTGTGTGAGGCAGAGACCATGCATGTGACCCATCCTCCTTGGAATCTGGCTCATGACAGATGCTCCACAAATGATGAACAAATAGATTTGCTTCCCAGCTGCTCTGCTCTCAGCTGCTGGAGCTTAAAAGACACTAGCAGTTTCTAGGATGGGTGTGTGCTAAGGGCAGCTCCACCAGGGCTTGGGTAGACTTGTGCTACAGACCCTGTGGGACTTCAGACATGACACAGGAATCAAAGAAAGGCCAAAAATGGCAGATTGGACACACAGGGACACCTAGCATCTTCCTCCAGGCCTTACAGAGAGTCTGCAAGGAATGGGAATTATAACTGGCTCATCCTCCTCCACTGCCAGGGCGGGTTCCAGGGTGACCACCTGTGCTCAGCATCTGAAGCCCTACTCAGCTGTCCAGAGCATTGTCTGAGCACCTGTTACAGCCCAGACATATGATTCTACTCTCCACATCCTTGTGTAGCCTGTGTAGTTCCCACGAGACACAGAGTATGATAATATCCCTATACTAGCAGTGCCTGTATCTCAAATACCCTAGTTTTCTTATCTGGAAAAATCCACAGATATCTGAGCATGACCTTTATGAAGGAACGTTCCTCCAATGTTCTGTGGAGGTTGCCGATGAGGTTCCTTCCATGCAGATCTGCCTGGCTTCTGTGGTCCCATGTACATCCTTTGATACCTCTGAGTTTCAGAGAGGACAATAATCTTTCCTAGGTGATTCCTAAAGGCTGCATAGGATATGTTTGAAGACATGGTGTTATGGTTTGGGCATAAAATGTCCCCACCAGAGGCTCATGTGTTTGAAGCTGGGGCCAAAGCTGATGGTACTATTTTGGAAGATCCTGGGAACTTTGCAAGGTAGCACATGGCTGGTGGAGGTAGGTCACTGGTCAGGTTCTTGGGGGTTTCTTGTCACTGGCCCTGTCCTGGTTTGTTCTCTGCTTTTGTCCACCAAGAACTAAAGAGCAGCCTCTGCCACTTGCTGCCCCTCCCATGGTGTTCTGCCTGAGCACACGAGGCCAAGCAACCATAGGCTGAACCCTTGGCAGCCAAGAGCAAGGAACTCCTTCCCCCATTCAAGTGTTCTTCCAGGTATTTTGGTCAGAGCTATATAAAAGTCAATAACATACTTTATGTATATGTGACAGAAACAAGTATATGTGGATGCAGATAGAGGCTAGAGCTGCTCATAAAACCCAGGTGCTGGGACAGTTGCCAGGAAAGTGCCAAATAAAGCCCACATGTTTGGTTTTCATGCCCTTATAACATCCATTGTATATTAAAAGGGAGCAAAACCATACTTAGAGACATTGTATTTAGATTAAATGAGCTTAGGTCCTAGGATCTTAGGAATAGGTTTTTTTCCTATTCATAATGTGAATTACAGATGGCCATTAAACTGGGACACATCATTTGTAGAGCATATTATCACCATGTGTCTAGTATGCCTGTCCTCTGCTGGTCAGATATAGTCCTCATCAGTACCATAAACAGAATTATGCAATAAAAAGAAATTCAGATAGTCTCCAGTTGGTGGATTCCCTTGAGTACCAAAGCCACCGAGCAGAATATTTCCAGCTTTGGTGCCCTGAGTTCAAGGATATCAAGTTTTTAGAAGCTGGTAGACAAGTCAAGCAGGGGGCAGATCCTTCTGCGACTCTGCTTCTGTACCGATGCTCTCTTGTGCATTATTCCTATGAATCCTCATTTTTTACTGGAAAAGGAGGGAATGCAGAGTGATGGTGATTTGCTCCAGCATTGCCATCTCTCTTACTCCCAGACTGGAAGCAAGGTAGATCCCAGTTTGGGGAGAAGGAAGGAGTACAGCCCAGTTACTACAGGTAACTGGGTAATAACTGATGGCTGTGGGAGTCCTGGGGGTTTGGAATACTGGGTTGTTTCCATGGCAACCATCTGGCCAGGGTATAACATAGAACGTGGCCCCTTTTGTGGCCTAGCTGCTGTCAATGGCTATGGCTCTCACTGACTCATTAAGCATTTGTGGGCCATGCTACATGTGTCCAAATGATTCTGTGACCCTAAGATACTAAAACCCAATGACACTTGTCAACTTTGTATAGCATGGTCTCCCTTTCCATGCATTGAATTGTAATAAATTTGCATCATTGAGATTAAAGCTAAACCATAAATAAAAGCCTGAGAATAGTGCTTTGTTTGAAGAGGATCCAATTCATACCAGGGGGTCTGAGTGTGAGCCTGTTGGTTTTTAGATTTCCCCCTCAAAGTGTGTTGCTTGGACTTTTACATAGATGGTTGGGCAAACCAGCCCTTTCTGTAGGGGTCACAGAGCACTGAGGTCTATAGGCTGCTCCTATACAATGATGCTTCTTGGTTCCTGCAGCAACATCTGGACATTAAAGTAGCAGACCCACTCCTGAGGACCCTCCACTATTCTTGGCTCTTCCAAAGCCAAGGGCGGCAGGCCAGCTTTCTTGGCTGCTGTTCTGCCTCAGCCATCACTGCTGTGTTTCCAGGACACTCAGCTGGACTACGAGCAAAGTTAATTGTACCCATGTGTTGTCAGTCCAGCACACGCACACTCCATTCTTCTCCCTAGCGCAATCTCTGTGCTTGCTCTGTGTTAGTCCTGAAGTAACCAGGACCTCATCACAGGGCCTCTTCAGCTGAGTCTCCCCAGAGAATAACAGTTCTGGGGTCTAGGACTGAGCTCTGAATTCTGGATACTGGTTTCTAAGGCCATTGCTTTTCCGGAGCCCACCTAGTCTTACTGGCCTAGGGAGCTTCTAGTGATTCCCCAGTCTTCTGTGCCCAAGCTTCCAAAAGTAGAGTCTTATGACATCTTGGAGCCAGGTAGGAACAGCGGTAAACTTTCCTTACTGTCTGAACTCTTCACCGGGAACTCTTGTTCCTTCCCATTTGCAGTCTGTCTTTTGAGACCAGAGATGGACAATCCAAGGCTTATTATAAACTATCCCTCCCCTACCTGCTTCCCTGTGAGGAAAAACAAAAAGACTTGTGGACTTTTCCTCCAGAGGTACAAGGAAGAGGGAACTAGGGACTGTGTTCCACTCACAGCCAGATTGGGGTGGGAGAAGAGACCACAAAAGAGAACGGGTGGCTGGGGTGACAGAGAACAGGATGACCTGAGAAGGCCAAAGGGTTC